ACAATACGATATTTTTGAGAAAATCAGAGCTTCACAAAGTTTTAATTTTAATTTCTTGTTTAAAATATCTTTTTGGGAATAAAGCTGTCTTAATGTGTTATAAGTGGTTTTACAAAGCTGAGATATATGTTTGCTAAATCTCATATCTGAATCAAACCATAAGCCTAAATTTTTTAATTCGTCAACCATCGGAATCGGTGTATTAATAATGGAGATTTGCATTTCATGTTTCAGTGTTACACGATTAATTTTGTTACCAAATAACATAACAGCTGATTTCAGTTCATTAAGTTTCAAATTATGAGCACTAGAAATATTTTTTAATGTCTTTAAATCGGAGTTTATATGTTCCATTGCAAGTATTCTTTGACCGAATTCAAAGGAATAATGTAATTGGGTATCGTCCGCATAATTATGCAGTTTACAAAATTTTGTGTAGTTTTGAAAATCAGCAATGTATGTCATAAATAGGAGTGGTCCTAATATAGATCCTTGTGGAACACCAAATTTTAGTTCCAAAGAATTCGACACATTAGATCCCAAAATAACGGTCTGCGTGCGGTTAGTTAAATAACTTTCAATGAGTTGGGTAGCATTTTCCGTTAAACCATAAAATTTCAATTTATCCAATAATAGCTGGTGATCCAATGTATCGAAAGCTTTGCTATAGTCCAAAAGTACAAGACAACATATTTCTTTTTTTATCGACTGCTTTAAAAATATCATCTGTGATATTTAATAATGTTGTGTTTGTGCTATGCATTTCTCGAAATCCAGATTGGGACGGTGGTATTATACCTTTATTAAATACATAAGAGGACAATTGTACTTTTATAATATGCTCTAGTATTTTAGACATGACAGGAAGTATGCTTATAGGACGTAATTGTGACAATTCTGTAGGTGAATTAGTTTTAGGCAATGGTAATATATTTGAATGCTTCCAATCGTTAGGAAACTTTGACTTAGAGAGTGCTGTATTGACAATAAAAACAATATGGGACATGAGATAAAAACTGACATATTTTATCATCCTAGAGGATATTTTATCGGCACCAACAGCATTGGTTTTTATTCTGTTTATTGCTTCAGCTACATCTTTTATTTCTACACGGGCAAAATTAAATTCCGGATGTACAGGTTCAGATTTGTACCGATCCAAAAACTGCAGTTGTTCGTTTGTTTTAGCAACCATCTGTACGGAATTAAAATATGAATTTATTTCATTAACATTCCAAAAATCCGTATTAAGAGATTCTCGTTTTTTAGCCTCAATAATATTCATATTGCGCAATGTACTCCAGATAGTTTTAGAATTATTGTCTCTAGAAATAAATTCAATATACGCTTTTTTTTCTCGCCTAATAGCGCCAGTGACATAATTTCTAATATCTTTATAATTTACCCAATCATTATTAGATCTAGAACTTTTAAATTTTAGAAATGCCCTGTCTCGAACTTTAATCATGCGTTTAATGGTTTCGGTGATCCACGGGGTACGTGGCTTACTTACTCGAACAGTACGAATAGGTGCATGTTTATCAAAAAGATTTAAAATATTTTCATTTAAGAATTGCACTTGTAAGTCGACATCATCAAGTTCATAAATTAAATTCCAATTTATTTCTTGAAAATCTTTGTCAAACTCAGTTTGTGTAAAGTTTTTGAAGTCACGAAATGTGATCATTTTAGGAGTAATTTTAAAGTTAGTTTTTTTTATTATACCAAGAGAGCACATGTGATCAGATCGCTTTTTACCCTGCAAATCAAACACCTCCAATTCAGAAATATCCTCTTTATTAGAGACCACAAAACAGTCAGGTAAGGTTTGTGTGGCGGTTGTAATTCGCGTTGGTTCATTTAATAGTTGTACTAAATTGTGGCAATCCAAAAAATTATTAAAAAGTTCTGTTGGCCTACTAGGTGTAAGTGTATTTACATTGAAATCCCCTACTAGTATAATTTTATCGTGAGCGGGAATTAAAAAAGCAAGGCTGTTTTCTAGTTCATGAAAAGCAACTTTCAGATTTTCTTTAGGTGGTCGATACATTACCCCCAAACAATATTTATTATTTCCAAATTTAAAACTGACCCATAACTGTTCCAAAGTATTTGTTATTTTATGTATTAAGACCGAATATCGAAGATTATTTGAGATATATAACCCGATACCACCTCCCACTTTATTTATTCTATCCAATCTCTCGAACGCAAATTGTTGAATAGAAATTGTACTTGTAAAGATATTCGGTTTTAACCATGTTTCTGTAAGACAAAAAATATGGATTTCCTTATTTAAAATACAATCTTTTAATTGCTGTAACTTAGGAACTAGCGATCTTATGTTTAAATGTGCTATTTTAAAATTATTTATTTATTGAAATAATCACACACTACAAAAAATATTCAATTTAAATAATAATAAAATTTGGTTAATATAATATAATTTTTTGGAGTTGATTTGCTTTAGATTATAGTTCAAGTTTAATTATTTTTTTCCTTTATTTCCGCTTCTTGTGTTCTTAAAATTAGATACGGGTTTTTGTTTGTTTTTGTCGGTTTCAAGGTTGGAGTTCTTTTCCGCCGGTGGCTGGTTCAGCTTATTCTTAGTATTTGGATGGTACTGATTTTCTTCTTTTTCCTTCTCTTCGTCTGAGCTTTGTTCCTCACTGCTTTCAATATTGTGACTTTCTAATTCTTTCAGTTCTTGTAGTGAATAGGGTTTACCGTTTATAAATAATTTCAAGCCTTTTATTTTTGCCTCGTGATTTTGAAGTCTAGCGTTTTTTAAATGGTATTTTAAGAGTTTTAATTCTTCCCTGTCCTCTTTTAACAAATCATCAGATATTGATAAACCTTTTTCCCTTAGTTTGTTCAATTTTTTGGAATCAAACAATTGGCGTTTCTTTTGATATGATATAAATTGAACTAATATGGGAGCTGTTGCAGCTTTCCCCAATTTATGTATTTTGTTTATATGCTCTTCACGTATATTTGTTTCAAAATTTTCGTTTAAAATGCCAATTGTTGTTTGCGTAATATTTTCTGTTTCTTCTGAATTTATTCCAAATATCACAATATTATTTTCTTTTAATTTCCGCTCTAGAATATTACATTTTTGTTTCAATGATTCGATTTCTCTAGTTGCTTCTTTAAGTTCTGTGCTCAGACTTTCAACTGTGTTTTTAAATTGTGCCTGAATTTCTTGCGTTTGTACTTGGTTTGCTTTCAAAATTAATTTAAATAAATCTTTGTGTTCTGCTGCTACGTCGTCTTGTGACATATTTAACTAACCGTTGGCGGAGTGGCCTCACACCCGCAATAAATATTCAAAAGCTTATAATTACTTACAGTTATTTAATGTGGAATATACTGTTAATTGTATTGGCGTCTACTAACACTCTACACCTTTTTTCGTAAAAAGAAAACACTTTTCCTCCAATATTAACCACCTATTAACGGAGCTTAAGTTTAACGTGTTTACTCTACGAACTCGTACACACAACATATGTCCGAAAACGTTTCGTTTTCGAGATACAGGGTATTACAAGTGAAGTCTTGATGGCACATTTTTGTAAATATTTTGAAAAATTTCTTTAGTCACCGGTTTTCCAAAGTTAAAAAAATAAAATTTCTAATTCCACATGCCTACTAATTATTGTTTACACTTTCGAAGAGGATAACATCAATTTTCAAATGATTTTTTCTTGAAAATGGTGCGTCCTAGCGAGATAGGTACAACAAAAGTAGGTTTATTATAAAGAAAATATTGGTTTTCCAAATTTTGTAGTCAAAAATGTTAAAAACAGTCACCAAAAAAACTTAGGACATTTTAACAATAAGCCCCTCCCCTAATTTACCCACCTATGAAGATGATCAAAAACTGGCGTTTAGTCCATTAAATAGAGTGTAAAAAGTTTAGCATTTATATCAAATTTCACTTAGTTTAAAAGTTTAGAAAATATTTACAAAAATGTGTCATCAGGACTTCACTTTTAACACCCTGTATCTCGGAAACAAAACGTTTTCGGACCTATGTTTATATAAACTTTTACTCCTACTTTAGTATATAGATTACGCTGTTAAGACATAACCGTCTAATTTTGGGACACCCTGTATATAAGCTTAAATGTGTTGTGTACAGTCTCTTACAAAAATTACATTTATTTAACACTGAGAATCTTGAACTTTTGATATTCACCATTAGGTGATATTTTTATGTACGACTGTCGCGAGTGAACTATCTTAAAGTTTATCTAGCTCATAAATTTCAAACAGTCACACCAACAGGGAGACATCATCGCGAAAATGGTAAAAACGTCAAAAGCCGGCGGAAACTTGAGACCATTTCCAACCTGTGTTCCACGGATCAGAGATAGCCTTGGAAGTGACACGCGAGAGGGTCCTGCAGCACATATAGAAGAGTTGTCAATAAATGGAGATCTTAAAAGCAATGTGCATTAAATAAGATATGGGTAACACATCCGTGTACTTGAATACATCTGTTGAATTAAAAAATCTTCAAACAAAATATATTACCAAGCTGAAACTAAAATTGACCGAACACTGATTCGTAACCCTTTAGGTACTAATGTTGAAAACATTGCAGAAAAATCCGGGAAGGGCTAATTGAATTTCAAGAAAGCATTTGAATCTCTTGTGGAGTTTTGGTATAAAAATAAAATTTGTTATTCTAAAATTCAAAAAATCGTTGGGCTATATTATGCTCTATTTCACAACTTACTTATCCGAACAATGGTTTTCTGCTTTTATTGTAATTGAAAACAAGTCCAGGAATCGATTGAAAGTAAGTAATGATAGGCGTATAGCTTTGAGCAATAATAATAGCCCCAACGTTACCCATTTAAGAAACCGAATATAATTTTCTAGCACAAATAGTATCTAATTTGAATAATTAATGTTACTATCAATTTTTACAAATATGTTAAAAGTTTTGAATAAAGTTAATTTTCAGATTAACACGGTTTATTATTCTTAAAGCTTGTCATCTCTTCTAACAACAAAACAATCAAATTGGTCGAAAAAAAAGGTTGGGAATACTGTTTTATGTGCATTCCTTGTTAGATACATGAAAATAAAGAGACTAGCATTAGGTACTATTATTTAATACATCCATACTCTCTAGTTAGAACCTAGTATGTATTTTAAAAAAGTAGTTATAAAAATTTTGAAAATTAAAACAAATTACTGAAAAATCGTGATCTCTGTGACATTATGCTAGTTGTAGAATCTGCTGGTGAATTAATGATCGTTTGTAGTTGCTGTGATAAATCTTTAATCCTTTCGTCTTTAATTCCTATTAATTTTTCCAAATGATCAAGTTTCTGAGTGAGAGTAGCGATGGTTTCCTTTTGCTCTTCAAGGTCCGTTTCCATTTTATCAAACATTTCACTTGGAACCAACTTCCTCTCTACCGTTTTCGTTCCATTATTGATCTTTATGGGAACAACACCTTCTCTGTAAGATAATTCTAGACCATTCTCTAAATACAGAATCTTTGTATCATCAACGTGATCTCCAGAGGCCTCTCTATCTTCAATTTTAGCTTTAATCTCTTCAAGCACTTTTTCTATAGCACCAGGAGTACTTTTGGCCAGTTCCTCTCTAAGTTTTTTAGACAGATTTATATTTAGTTTGTTCAACACTTTCTTATTAATTACATCCCAGTTGACCATTTTTTGAGTAAACGAAAATGTGGAAGTATAATTGTGTAAATCTACCAACTTAGGAAAGTGTTGTTTTAATATTTCGGCTAAGGGTACTGCATCAGAAAAGTCTCTATTCAAATTTCTTTTTTGTCTTGTAATGGTATGAGCATCGATCCATCTATATAGTTCGTCGTGATCCATGTTCGTGGGAACAAAATGAGATTTAGAACAAAATGATTGAAAATTGTCGTAAAAGTTTGACAATTATAAATTATGTCAAGTGTCTTAAAACACGGTACATCAGAATTCCGAAAAGAAATCAACGGCGAAGCGACTACGTCAAACTATGAAGACTAGAGATAAGGAGGCGAATCGGCTTGCTCAAAATACGGTCCCAAAAATCACACGTCAAGTGAGCTTTTATAATTAACCGCATGGGCGCTGGTACGGTTTACGTAGTTTAAAATACATGGCTTCTTATGGGAATTATACATAATTTTGTCAAAATAATAAAAATAAACTTGTTTATAGCTAAATAAAGCACAGAACATAGTGTTGTATTTATTTCTAAATAAGTCTTACATATTTTAATTGATACATTATTTACTATTTATTCCTATTTAAGTAAAATGCAAATTATTGATGATAAGTGTTGAAACTTGATGGGTAGGGCTAATTATTTTTAATTAAAGCTAAATAGGGCTGAGCAGGGCCGACTAGAGGGGATGGGGTAGCCGGGACTAATTCCCGGGGCCCGGACTCAAATGGGGGCCTGACAGCGGTATAAGGGGGGCCCGGCAACTGGATTTTTTGTTTTGTAAAGTATTTGTTTGTCACGAGGCCCGGTCTAGAGAATTGTCCTAGGGCCCGGCCTGGCTCTCGGCGGCCCTGGGGCTGAGGGCATACTAAGACACCGTTTAAATGAAAATATTTAGTTAGGGACTTTACAAAATTTTATGAAAATAATAAAAAAATTTATTGCTAACTAAAGCACAGAAAATACTGTTGATTATAATTATTGTAAATAAGTCTTTGTTTTAATTGCTAACTAAAGTACAGAAAATACTGTTGGTATTAATTATAAATTAGTCTTTATGCTAAACATTATTTACTATTCATTATTTAATTTTATCTAAATAAAATGAAATTTAGGTATGACCAAATTTGAAAAGGTTTGTTAAATGGTGATATTTCGTAAGTACAGTTTTGTTGTAATTTTGTATTCGACAACTACAATTTCATCATCCTGGTGAATAGTTTCTTCAGCAACAAATTCAGTTCGGTTCAATGGTGGTTTTCGTCGTTTCCTAATACTGGACAAGTATGAAGGGAGATTCGGGAATATACATGGTATTGCTTCGATCTTTAATCTGTACCTTTCCCTTTTTATTTTGTTAATAGTACCATTAGTTAAAATAGTCTCATCAAATTTTAAAATATCATCTTCTAAAAAGTGTAGCTCGCAAGCATAATCCTAACTAGACAGTACTTTATCAGCCCTAGGAATCACCTGCTGCCATTGTTCTAAACGTTTAGGATCCTATAAAAAATATTTGCAATTACTAAATTGGAGTTCAATAAAGAAAGATAACAGTAGTAACTTTTCATCTAACATCAAAAAACATAAAAAAGCAAATTTTCTTTTCCAGTAAGTTAAATTTAATGTGTAATTATTGTTGTTTGTAAGTCAGAATTTATGACTTTATTAAATTTTACCTATTATAGAATTTTGTAATTAAATAAGCTACGTAAGATACGGGTTGTGACTATTTTACAATAAATATATTTTATTTAGAAATAAATACTTTATTTTACTTACATTAGGAGCTTTAAAAAGACTTGGATTTTTATCTCCTTGCATTTTCTTTAATTTTATATCGGATTTATATCCCGCTTTTTAACCCGGAACGAAGCAAATCCTGCTTTGCCGTTTTTTGTTACTCATTGTTACTCATTGTAAAAATAGGGACGGAAATTTGAAATTTGACCAAGGCCGATTCGCCTCCTTATCTCTAGTCTTCATACGTCAAACTAACGTCAAATAAAAAATATTAAAAATTATTTTTTTGTTTCATGGACTGGAAACGCAAGATCAGAGATCAGATCATATGCAATCATGTATATCGCCCTCCATATCGCCAATATCATAATCCACTTTTGGCACATGGTACTTTTGGCATGCGCATATGAAGACTAAATACATGCGCAGTGAGTCGTTTTCAGACATATACGATGCTACGTCATTAAACAGGGCCGGATTTCTTTTCAATGTTGAAATTAATTTTAGCCTAAATAATTAGGAGATTTGATTTTCACAAATATATGTTACGTTCAGCATTAGTCTCACAGATAATTTTAATTAGTGCAATACAGATGTAAGTGTATAAATAAATTTAATGGTTATTTAACGACCTAGTTGGTACTATGGTTGTAGTACCTGTTATAACTTACTCATCACTCATGTAGTGGCACATGATTAAAAGCATAACAACTTATAGAAAATTAGACAAGGTACAAAAACTAGCCTGTATATTAATAACAGGGGCATTTAGAACTATGCCCTTTGCAGCAATGGAGCTACTGCTACGTCTTCCTCCATTACAGCTTGTGGTGGTGAAGGAGGCTATGGTGGCAACATACAGGCTGTTCACTAATGGATCTGGATGGAAACTTTCGAGAAAAGGACACCATACAATGATATTCAAGAAATTAAAACAAAATCCGGTGTTAAGAATGCTATCGGATAGAACGTCTATTATTCATGATTTTAGGAAACATTAATTTGATATTCAAATACCAGAAAGGGCCAAAAGCTGGGAAAATAGAGAAATACAAAAGGAATCAATCTGGTACACAGATGGGTATGAAAATGAAAAACGGCACAGGTGCTGGGATTTACCGTGTCAACTCAGGGAGGACCATTAGTCTGAACCTGGGGTTACTGATAAGAGTCTTCTAGACTGAAGTAACAGTAATAAATGCATGCGCTAAAGTTATGCTAAATGACTCTTTTAGAGATAAGAGGGTCTTTATCGTGACAGTCAGGCAGCGCTTAAAGAACTAAAAAGGGTAGAAGTACAATCCAAATTAATATTTGATTGCCAACAGTCCCTCCATGTCCTGGCAGAACATAAGGACACCCTTGAATGGGTGCCGAGACATGAGAGAGTGTTTGAAAACGAGAAAGCAGACCTCCTAGCCAGGAAGGGAACAAAAAAACTCTAATTGGATCAGAAACCACATGTGGTATTTCATACCAACATGTTAAATGGGTGCTAACGGAACGAATTAATAAGAAACATCATAGGCTCTGGTTGGAACTTCCTGGACTTAGACAGTCCAAAATATTTATAGAGGGTTCACCCAAGAGCAGACAAAATCAACCGCTAAACCTAAGCAGAAGCGAACTAAAGGCCGTAATAGGACTTTTTACGGTACACTGCGGCCTTAGAAGACACCTACATCGCTTAGAAATATCTGCTGACTCCCTATGTAGAATAGGTGAAGGGGGGATTAGACTTCTATTCACATACTATGCCACTGTCGGAATCTTAAATGGGAACGGGAATGGCACTTCGGGGTACAATAAACGGAACCTGAAGAAATCGCGAAAACGCTCATCAGATATATTCTTTAATTCATCAAGAAAATTAATCTGAAGAGGTAGACACTATGAAGGGTACAATGAGCCTAGAACTTCAGTACAAGTGGGCTTTGAAAAACATCCTAATTCAGATAGATAGATAAATAACGACCTACTTTATTATTCACCATTTATTATGAGAGTTCGTTACAAGTTGTTTTCAGCAACCAAATTTTAATTAAAATGAAAAATCAAGCTTTAAATTTTCATATTAGATTTCAAAGTGTCAATTTGCTTTATTGCGTTATAAAAAATATCAATTAAGGATAGACAATAATGCAGGTATAGTTAGTTGTAGATAAATGGTTAATTATTGGAAGTAGACCATTAGTGAAGCCAATTAATGTCTGATTTTGTCAACTTTAGCTAGACGGATTAATACACGGTAATCGGAAAAATATGTACTGTTGGTTTCACATAAAATGAGTACATACAAAAATCGAATTGGTTTTGGATATATAGCTAAACCTGCGCTTTTTAATATGCACCTGGAGCACAACTTACTAATTGTTGTTGTTTCATGACACATATTAGACGGGTGTAGAATAAATGGCGCAACTGCATTGAACATTAACGATTCAATTAATATTAATTGATTTTAGATAAAATACGTAAATGGACAAGCTAATACAATACTTAGTTTATTCTCAGTGTAGTTCTGCCATTAATTCGCACTCATCTTGTACCTATTAGATAATTACACGACTTTAAAGTTTATTATTGGCGATGAAAAAGAATGAGCTTAGCCATTTTCTTCTGATAAATGTTCCCCTAGCAATTTTAATTTGAGCTTTGGCTTCATTAAAATATCTAATTCTGCAATACATTTTTGATGTTAACTTGATTAGTTTTAATCTGTGCCTCGCTTCTCCTAGAGAATAACTGAATAAATGGTCATCACAGTCATTCGAATAATTATTTTCAAATAAAAAAATACTATGGTGTAGTTAAAAATTTCAATAAAATTTGGTTTCGGAGGTCTGACATATTTTTTCTCGATAAAAGTGCATGTTTTTAATATATTTTTTGATGGTGCTATCTTTGGAAGCTTAAAAAAAAATATTTAAAGACACAAGTGGATGAAGGGCCTATGTAACATTTTTTTTAATGGTTTCTTTCTGTGAATGAAGGGCGTATGTACCTAACATTCGTTTAAAATGTAAGGCGGGCATTATAACTTTATGGAGAATAAATTAATTTGTATTTTCGCCATTTTCTGAGTATACATAATCGAATATGCTCTTTTGAATTAAAATAAAATGAACTCTGTGCAACTTCCGGTTATACCGGAAGTGACCACTAACTTCATTATTTTAAAGGGAATATCCCATATTTTTTTTTAATTTTAGATTCAGCATGAATTTCTGTAAACAACGATACCCCATTTGCCTATTCTAGTTATAGCGGATTTGGCGTTATTCAATTTTTTTCTACATTTTTAGTCGCCGGACATTTTCTTAAAGTCGTCTATCTCAGGTACTATATCTATCAGATACTTAAAATTTTAACCAGAGGTAGTAGATGGGATGTACTTCTTGAGAATATTTAGTTATTCATTATTTGTTGTACGGGGTGTTTGCAAATTATTTTTAAAAATGAAATTTTTT